ATCTACCACCCAATTATTATATGGTTTGGATTGTTCTTTCTCTTATCAGCGACGTGGAGAAATGAGAGGTAAAGATGTATAAGAAATCTTTGGATCTTGTGAACAAAGATTGAACAACGTGTGCTTCAATAAGATAATCAGTGAACACGACAACTTTTGTATATTCCTTCTAGTCAACCTTTTACAGTATGCTCTTGTCAAAAAGTGAAGATCCCCTTTTTGTTCTCTATCTCTTCCTATTTATAAGGGGTATTTCCAAGGAACCCTAAAAAGCACAACACAAAGAATATCTAAAGGAATATTCCTTGTATCCATTTCTAAACCTATCCAACCGTTATTTCTTTACTCCATAGTAGTCCTTCTGAGGACGACTTCCTGCTATTATGCCATGGTCGACCTAGTCCTCGATCTTGTTTAACTACCGTTACCAAGTTGCCAAATTTAGACGAATACAATAACAACAAATTTAGTATAATCTCACAAGTGGAGTTTTGGAAATGTATTGTGTACACGGACCTTATCTCTTTTGGAGATTTTCATAAATGTGCAAAATGCAATATGCATGCATTCTAAGTTAATTGAGTTAAGTTTGGGTGATGTCGTTGGTATTTAGTAACTTGAAAATTGTATTTCTGGAAAACTTATATCGCATTTGTTGAATACGAGGCGACTTATTTGATGAATGCATAAATCGCTCTAAAACATCGCATTTGATGAATGATACTTATAAATCGCATTTTCCAAATGCGGTTTTGTTATATAAATCACATGCTCTCAGAATTGGAAGTAGGCAATTTTTGTCGACCATTGAAGAGTATTCTACGCCGGCTTCACTCAGCAACTCGTTCCCCCAACGCCTTGTTGTCACTGTCGCTGTCGCCGGGGGCGGTCCAACCATATTTGTGGCCTAAAGCCAACTTTATGAGAGGCCTTAATTTTTTTAAACAAAATTTGAAGTCTATTTTTCTAGCTTGTTTTGGATGCAAAGTTATTACTCCCTCTGTTCCAATTTATGTGAACTTGTTTGACTGAGCACGGAGTTTAAAAAAATTGAAGATTTTTGGAATTTGTGATCCTAAACTAGTCAAAAAAGGACTCAGCGTATTTGTGTGGTTATAAAAATATCTCATTAAGGGTAGAATTTGAAGTTTAGCTAAAGTATTTTTAAATTTCGAAAGGGGTCATTTTTTTTTTGAAACATATCAAAAAGGAAATAGGTTCACATAAACTGCAACGGGGAGTAATAATTTCTTATAATCAATTTATCTTAATAAGTCTTTCTCAATTGACAATATAACTAATCTATACATTATTCTATAAGCAATATAGATATTTGGAAAAGAATCAATTTTTTTTATTTGATTGAGTATATCAATTAAGCTGTTATCCTTTAATTGTACTATTTTTCTTAACATTTAATCCATAAAATAAATCTAAACCATCAATATCAAATTGAGTATTATGCTTCAAGGAACATTCAAAATTAAGGCACTGCTTTTTCGAATTTTCATTATCTAGTGACTTCAGTATTTTACGCTAAGAGAAAACCAAAAATATTTTTTCATATGCTTTAAATTATTCAAATCTATTTTGAAGTGAAAAAATAACCTTGTCTACTATGTATAAAAAGTAATCAACTCTGAAGGACACTTCGAGAGATTTTAAGATTTTATTATCAACATTCTCATCGAATTGTTTCTTCCTATATATTTCATTTACGAAATTCGGATTCGATATTCATTTTAAATTCAATTTCCTTCGAAAAAATCATAGCAATTGCAAATCTTTCTTCTCTAAATTTGTTAAAGAAAGAAATTAAACTTTTTTACACACAGAACTTTTTTTTAAACTTATATATAATCTATTAGGTATAACAAAAAATGGGACTCCTAGAAATATAGGGCCTAAAACAATTATTTTAGCTGTTTTAGAGAAGGGCTGCCCATGGATGTCGCTGTCGCAACCACATCTGATGATCGCTAGCCATATATTTAAGTTTTTTGGAGCATTCATAACTTAAGCAAATCCAAACCCCTATATCGCTAGCCATATATGCAAAGGCCGGCTCTAACCTTATGACAAGTAAGGGGGCATTTGCATCTATACCCACTTTTTGAGTCACGTTTTAACTTGTGCCCGCTTTGCAAAACAAATTGCATGCGCGCCCACTTTTTCGCGTAACTTACGGGGCAGAAGTAGCAAAGGCAATCACACAAAACTTCAGCATTCTAGTAAACGGGCCTGAAGTAGCAAGTGTGCTGAAGTTTTTATTTGTAATTGCCGAACTTAAGCATAGTAGCTGAAGTTTTGTTCTCTATTTGCTGAAGTTTTTGTTTGTAATTGCACTAAATAAGCTGACGTTTTTTTGTCCTGGATAAGCTTTTTCAAAAATTTCAGCAGAAGATGCTGAAGTTATTTACTTCATTTATAAAAACTTCAGCACTGAATAAGCTGAAGTTTTTTTGTCCTGGATAAGCTTTTTCAAAAATTTCAGCAGAAGATGCTGAAGTTATTTACTTCATTTATAAAAACTTCAGCACTGAATAAGCTGAAGTTTTTGAAAAAACTTTCTAACATACTAGATAAATAATCAGATTGCCAACAGTATCAAAATCATAAATTTTGGAAACAATAAACGTGAAAAAAAACAGAATTATCATGAAAAGAATCACTAAGTGTGACCTTAAACTTTTCGTACGTGGAAATATTCGCAAATTATTGTCTGCTAACTTACGTAATTATTTATAATTTATTTTTAAATAATCTGATAAACATACTTATGGCAATCATCCCATGAACTAAAGTTTCATAGCAGCACCAACAGCAGCAGAAGAAAGAAGAAGAAGAAAACGAAGGAGGAGAAGGAGGAGGAGAAAGAGGGCTGAAATTGTTTTAAAAGTAGGTACAAGTTAAAAGTTTTTAAAAAAATGGGTATAGGTTAAATGGGGGCGACCAAATAGGGACGCCCCATGCAATTTTTACCAAGTAAGGCTAGTGCCTTAGGCTCCAAATTTGGGCCTCCATTTTTTAGCAATAATAGGTTTATAAGTATTTAAAAAAAAGAATTAATACTTTTAATATAAAATTAGAGATTTTCTATAACAATTGCCTCAAAGAAAAGAAATTTTTCATAATTATACTTCATGTCTAATGCCTAAGATCAATTATGTCACAAGAAAGATTAAATGAGTTAGCTATATAATCAATTGAAAAGAAATTATAGAGAAAATCGACTATAAAAAAATTATTAATAACTTTGCATATCAAAAAGCTAGAAAAATGGACTTTCAATAAAAATATATATCATAACTTTCTTTTAAAGATTTAGGCCTCACATTAAACTTTGGTTTTAGGTCACACACGAGCTTGAGCCGCCCCAGCATATATGCCAAACACGCATAGCTCATTCCATGTTGTTATGTGATTTGTTTGGACTTACATTGACTATTTGCTTTGATCCAACTTGTAAGGGTGTTTGAATTTAATTAATTACTCGAGGACGTTCTAACAAAACTCCCGCATTAGTGGCCAAAAAGAAAAAGACGCCACATATTATTTAAGTTGTAGGGATATTGTTCGCTTATTCAGCGGCGAAGCTAGGAATTTTCTCAAAAGTGTTTAAATTTAATTTTTTTTTGACAAAGGGTGTTCAATACGTATTATATATATATATACCTCTAAAACGTAATATTTTACCTATGTACACAGTGTAATTTTTCGACGAAGGGCGGTCAATATGACCATGTGGCTTCGCCACTGCGCTCATCTTAAAACTGTTTATGGGACTCAACAGTTCCCATTGGGATGTGGCAAGTATTGGACATTCAGAGATCATGCACTCATTTGTTTATTTACATACTGTTCATCTCTAGAAAATATCCCGGTCTCACTTAATTAAGTCAAACAACTACCCTCCTCAGAGGTGTTTGAACATGAATTTCAATTTGAACTTGGAAGAAAAAAAGTTAGAAATTTTGTGAGTGAAGCCTATCATTTCATTTGAATACTCCTCAAACAAGTTTTTTAGCTGCAGATTCCATATGATCGACAAATAGTAAAACAAACATTGCTTTACAAGTGTCATTTCACTGTGTAAATAATATTTTATGTCCAAATGCCTACTGAGAAGGACTTTTAGGAGGAGAAAGATCTGACATTGCCATGGCAATGAAAGCTGCAAGCCATGAACAAGAGCATTCACTTGTCAGAGAAGAATGATCATCTGTCTCAAAAAGAATGATGAGTTCGAGGTTCAACACGTCTAATTTTAAGTGGTTATTCAGACAAGGATTCCCTAATATGTAAATGTCTACATACCACATAGCAGCTTTTACATTTTAGTCAGAAAAATATCGTTTGACTTCTCATGGTTAATGTAACTTTTCTGATGTGGCTGTGATCTGTAATTTTGTGAATATGACATGAAAACTTTACAATCCTGCAAAACAGTGCTGTTCTTGACATGGTGTACTGGGCCAAATTCAATGTTCATTTAGTCAGTTATCCATTTTTCAGTCGGACAAGCATTGATCATCAATTCAATCTCTTCTTTTTCTTTCAAGAATTCGTTGAGAATACACAGTAGACTTGAAAGTCACGTCTTTGTTCTGGTGAATCACTGTCCGTTCTTAATTCTATGCTTCTTGTATTGTTCTTTCGACGATGTATCCCAAAAATTACATAATGAGTTTGACCATATTACTATTTCAGTCTTCTTTTCTTTTGAACAATAAGCTAACTAATATCAGTCAGAGACGAGTTACTTCAAACTAGATCTCTTGAGTAATGAATAGATACCGTTTTGCTGTGCTGTGTACCTTTTCTATTGTTGAAGAAACCCACTGTGGGCTTGAGGGTTTCTGGCCCGACTCTAGTTGACTGACATGTTCGAAACTCCAGGGAGTATAAGCCCGCTCCATAGTAGAGCTGGAACGCCTAATCCACACATCACATGCTGCATCCTTACGACCCTGGCTTGCTGTGATGTGTACCATTAACAATTGCAGAAATAGAACGCTTTCATAGCCTAAAGAAGAAAGGAAATAATGAGCTGATGGAGCTCTACTATCAATGCTTACAAGTCAATGTACCTGAGAACGTAAAAATGGTGGAACCAATAGCTGGGAAATTTTACAACATACAAGGAGAAATCATGCCGGAATTAACCACCTCAGGTGAGTCAACTGCCACAAACGCTATTCCCTAGCACTGACCACCAGGCGCACATAAAAAGATCACTATGCTTAACAAACAAAGCTGAGGGGATACATACTATGATAGAAATTAGAATCACTGGCAGAACGTGGAGGCAGAACTTCTGAGAGAGAGCACAAGGACGACAAGAGCTCTTCTTGACCATGCACAATAAAAACCCAGTGTAGTTTTTGTCACTCGCCAGGAAAAATCAGCTGAGGGAGAGTCAGGAAGATGTGATTTACGTCCTAGCTACAGTCAGAGTCACATGTGAAGTTGGCCTGAACCGTCTTTATGTTTCAAAGAGATGTTTGCAAATTGTTGATCAAGATCCCTACTAGTGCTGCGCCGATGGCTGGAAGATGATTGCTGTTGCTGCTGTGACTGTGGCAGTTGCTGTTGCTGATATAATGCTCGTAGTCTTCCTCTTTCTCTTTCGAGTACTTCATGCTCCACTGCACAGAATAAAATTACTTTGTACTATAGTAATTAGCTCTGTTTTAAAAGGCAGAATTGGGACTCGCCCGGGGCTCGCCCTGGAGCGGAGCACTCGTAAAACGCCCCGGGACTTATGTGTGGGGCTTAGTTCCGTGAGACTTACACCTCGGCAGTCGGGACTTACGCCCCGGACACGCCCAACGCCCAGCATACCGGGCTCGCCTAATAGAACTTTATGCAATTATGTGTAACTAACCTTGTAAATCCTCAAATTTTCTTAATAAATCGTTGACTATTCAAAATTACTTTTTTCTTAATTATAAATCATTAGTTGAGAGTATTTTCTGTCATAATTGAAATAAAAATTAGTGCACATTATCCAGTAAGATTGCTGTGGTAGTAAATTTTAAATAAATCTTTCATTTAAATATTATTTTTTTCACGTTTACGAGATACAATACTTATTAATTTAATAGCTCAATATTAGCTAGTAACTATTTACAAATAATGTGTCACTTTATTGACTTGTTGAAACTTAAAAATAAATGATGCTAGAGAATCATATTTAAATTGTGAATTAAGTTTTTATTTAAATTCTCTTTCAAATAGAAAGCATATTAAATAAAAGGAGTATTTTAAAAAAACATCAAACTATAATATCAAAATTCTTTCAAGATTCATTACTCCTTAAGAGGTACATAAAAGATTTCTGCATCAACTATATTACTTTTGATGTTTGAGTTGTAACGATATTGCAGCTAATTTGCATATTATGATATAGGTCATACTTTTCGTATTATTCATAGCTGAATTATAATTATAAATATTTTAAATAGATTATTTGTCATAATTTTGTGATTTTAATGTAATTTTTATAATTATTTTTATTTTATACTATCTTAAAATTCTTGAAATTAGTAAAATTTAAAGATCCATGGGACTTACGCCCCACGTCTCAGGGCTTACACCTCGCCTCACGCTCCCGCCTTTTAAAACATTGGTAATTAGCAGCTTTCTAGTCGCCACTACCCCCAAAACAAAACAGGTTTTCCTATTTGAAGTGCATAACTAATTCAACTACGAAAGCCCCTCAGCCATAATCAACATGACAATTAAGCTCTGAAAAGTTTAAGTTTAATTAGTTGAGTTTCTTTTTCTTTTTCTGATATTGGAAAAATCGCCTCCGGACCAACTTTGAGACCTCGGCATCACTTTGTGAGGTATCCTGTAACTCCGGGGGATTATGGGCCCGCCCCTCTACCCTCTTCCCAACTCAAAATACTCTAGTTTCTTATGGTTACAGATTGCAGTATCCCCTTATGTTCTTTAGTAAAGGTAGATTTTGCACTTTCCTAGATGCACAGATACTTTCTTACATCAACTTCTAAAGCCAACAATTAACCCTGTTAATCAATAATGATAAAAGCATGGTAACAACATTTCTTTTTGGGAAAAGGTCCAGATTTGCCCCTCTACTATTGTATATTGTTTACATGTGTCCCCCGTTATACTTTTCGTCCATTTCCGCCCCTGCCGTTAACAAACTTTTCAGATTTGCCCCTAACCCTAATAGCCCTACACTGTAGCAGCTGACCCCTTAAATTTTTTCTCATGTCAGCTACCAAGTCAGATGACACTATGTCATTCACCACATTATGAGTCAAGATATGGGGCCATTCACCAATCCCTAATTTTAATACCTGATTCCCATTTAAAATCCACTATTTTCCAATCTATACCCACCTAGTCCCCTCCAAATCTGTTCATTTTCCATTTTTACTTCTATTTTTATTTCATTTTCTTCCTCTTTTTCTTTACATCTCTTTCTTCCTCATCAAAACACCACGTCATCTCCTTCACACCATTTTCACCAGAACAAGAAAATTAAACAAACAATCTAAGCCAAAATGAAATAACATGATAGTAAATTGAATTTTTAAATTTTGAATTAAATTCATGTGTTCGTTGCTGGGTCAGATTCAAGTAAGAGACTTGGAAGTCCATTATCGAAAATTTAAAGCCTCATCCTGGGTTGGGATTTTCTGCATATGAGGTTGAATTAAACTTTAAGGATTGATTTGGTAACTGTAGTAGGATTGAAATTTTTTAAAACCCAGTTGAAAATTAGCATTAAATGTGATTCATCGGCTTCACCATTGTTGAACTTTAAAAGTTCCAGATTTGAATATTTCTTTTGAACTGGTAGCAGTTTGAAAAATTTGTATCAATCTTGTGAGAATCATTTCTTGAATTAAGGAAAGAAAGTAAAATTAAAAAAGGAATAAAAAAGAAAAAATGGTTAGAAAAATAAATGAAAGATTCTGGGGGAATGAAGGGTGCTGGGGGTGATGAGGACGACGCGTGTGGTGGTGTGGGGGAGGGGTCTAAGGCAGATTAAAGTCCCTTCCTTTCCACTTGTTTGTTTCTACGTGCAGCTTTTTATTTTTTTAATATGACATAGCAGCTGACATGGAAAAAAATTGGAGGGGTCAGCTGCTACAGTGTAAGGCCGTTAGGGTTAGGGGCAAATCTGAAAAGTTTGTTAACGGCAGGGGCGGAAATGGACGAAAAGTATAACGGGGACACATGTAAACAATATACTATAGTAGAGGGGTAAATCCAGACCTTTTCCCTTTCTTTTTTGCTCTCTTTGTTTTACGAAGGTAAAACAAAAGCCAATGTTTGCTTATTTCTTTAAAAAAACTTTGGCCTAGTTACGTTATCCATTTGAAAAGCAGATAACTTTGGTCATCTCCCAAGAAGCACCAAAGTTTTGGTTGATTCAACTCCAATATCTCCTTTATATTTTACTACTTATTAATTCCAATATTGTTTTCCACAGTTAAAAGAACCTTTGTAACGAAGATATGTTTATTCTTTCCAAAGTGATAGACAGTAAGAATAAAGCAAGCTGCTGCATATGCAGCTCCTAAAAAAGCTAAACAAAATTCTTGAATTGACAGAAAAAGTTGGCGATTTCCAGGATAATCATTTTTTCCACAAAAGAAAAGTATGTTTTCTGTAATTACCACTAATTATCTCCATTTCTCCAAGAAAACAAGTCATTTGCTAATGAAGTCGAGCATTGCTCCAAACGATGTACTTCCAGTTTTAGGAAAACAACACCCACTTTCCCAGCTCATCTGAATCAAAAACCAATCTTACTATAAGATTTTTATTCACGGGAGAACATTATTCATGCGATACTTCATGATAACCCTAACTTCCAATTATGTCGGTTTAGACTCACTATATTAGCTGCATATTCAACTTTGTAACACCAGTTCAAGCATTGTAAATAGCAGGTACAGCAATAAAGTATAACAGATAAAGAAGAGACTTACAATACTTAATCATCTGTTCTTGAGCTAAGTTTTCTAAGCGCTGCTTTAGGGCTTTATTCTCCATGCTGAGAATAAGACTCTGCTGGTTAAGGAATTCAAGCTCAGCGGATACCTCAGAACCTTCAGCCTGGAATCAAAACAGTGATCAAATCAGCAATTATAACAAAATACATCCATTTATCACTGTATATTACTTCAAGCTTCTGCAGATACATGCCTGCAGAACTTGAACATTTCTTTCCAGTTCAGATATGTATTGAAGCTTCCTAACTCGTGAACGTTGAGCAAATTGTCTGCATTACATGGCACCTTGTCTTAGTAAACTTCAATATGTAAAATAACATTGCATAATGTCCAAATAAACAATACGAATAGCAGATAAGCATCTGTTGGCAAATCACATAATAAAAGAGGAAAACATTGTAGACCAAACATATACTTCCACACCTAAAAATCAAAATACTCCCTCTCTATCAAGTTAGATGACGGATGACCATTTGATTGGTGCAAAGATTAAGAAAAATTCTTGAGTAAGTTGCTACAGTGAAATTAGCTAGATATGTATGCTAAATACAAATAGAAATGCATCAATAGTGGGGTAATTTATCTAGTATAAATCACATAATAGAAAAAGTGATATAGATTGTCTTTGTATTATACTGAATTGTTGATGGTAGGGAAGGTTACTTTTAGTAAAGGGATCCAGGAAATACAAGAGGATGAAAAAAAGAACAAGGTCAAGTAAGTTGAGATGGTGGCAAGAAGAAATGTTCCTGACACATTTCCGTAGCATAAAAATGAATGTACTAATTTTTTTTTTGATGAAGAACATAAAAATGAATGACTATGTTGTTAAATGTTAAATCCACCTATTTTTGTTAACATTTATGGATTGGTAAAGTTATTATAGGTCATGGGTTCGAGCCACATCACACCCTTTGGGGTGCGACACTTCCCCAGACACTGCGTGAACGCGGGATGTTATGTGCACCGGGCTGCCCTATCTATGGATTGGAGGATTCGGACACCATAGGCTTTCCTTGAAAAAGTCGAGAGCACAGACTAGCCTACAGCATTGGCCATAGGCCTGTCGCCTGTTCAGTGTATAATATTATCAAAGTTTAGAACATAAAAAACTCAAAATTGCAATACATATCATTACTGCATTTTTAAAAAGATTCAGAAGAAAATAGCATGCTAAAATCCAAATATTTACCTTATTTGCTTTTTAGCAATAAGAAAAGAAGAAAAGTTATAACATGCTAAAAATACTTACAAATGAAAGTTAGAATACCATTTATGGATCTCATATCCTGGTTATAAGCCCCCAACTAACCAAAACACCCAGTAAACTGATAGTACGGCATGCAATGAAAATAAAGTAAAACAATAGACAAACAATGGAAATAGAAACAAACAATATTATAAAAACAGAAAAAAAAAAGAATTATCTTAAATATTAACTATCTTTCTTGCAACTATCAACATACTGAAACTATTTGTATTCACTTCCCAACTAAGTCCTTTAGGGTTGCTGAGATAGTTACACTTACTGCTTTGCACGTTTCGTGTCATTTTCTGATGCAGAACTCTTACTGTGAGAAGAATCCTTTTTTTCACCAGATCCCTTTGGATCAGGAGTGACAGATTCAAGTAAACCCTGCTTGTCACTTCCTGCAGATTTGGGTCTCTCTCCTTCTTGTGGAAGAAATGATGATCCCAAGCTCTGAGTCTTGACATTTTCCCTAGAAGGTGGAAAACCACGGAGATGTGGTTTGGCATTTGGAGATGCATCCCTTGACCTACTCTTTTGTTGGTTAGAGGAGTTTCGATCAACATGAAATGTGGCATGCCGAGCATCTTTGTAATAATCAAAGTCTTGGGATCCCCAAGAAGCGACAGGAGTTATATTTCGAAATTTGTTATCATCTTGCGCTATGTAATCTAAGTTTGCAATATTAGCAGCATCAAAATATGTAAAGGAGTCACTAGATGAACGCCGGTGGCCACCTCTGCGTACAGGAGTTTCCGGTTCATTAAGAAGATCATCTAACCAAGATGGTTGCTCCTCTATAAGACAGCTTTCAGAAGAAGTACGCTGATGGTGTGAACCATCTCTGCATTTCGAAATGCCCTTTTGGGTGACTGCAGAACTAGGGGGATAATCAACATACGAGGGACATGTGCTAGGAAACGGACTTTTAGGAGGCAGTAAAGAGCTCTTTCCATTGTACATCATATGTCTCATGTTAGATGGCCCTTTGGAATTTGCCATAGCAAAGCATGCAAGATCCCTGCTAAAGGATGAAATAGAGGTAAAATATATTAAAAGAAACAAAGAAAACTATTGTTTCCAAAAGTAAGAGCATAAAATTACCAATTTAAATCAATATTAGATAAATTAGAAGTAACTTATATTCCCTCTCCCCCCAATTCAAACCAGCCAAAAGAAAAACAAAAAAGGAAGAAAAGAAAAAGGTAAACAGATAAACAGTCAAATTGAAAAAGAATCTAACTTTACAATGGTAAATTTATCCAGTGATCGATTCTCATTACATCACGAGGCAAAATTCACCAAAAATTCAAAATATTTCCATACTAAAGACATTAATAGAAGCCAGTCTTCCAACCAAATATTAAGAGGAACTAAGAGCCATTGCTAACATTCATGTCACTATACAAAAATATCATACCTAATCATGGAATAAAAGTTACACAAAAATTGGAAAAGCTCGCTGCCTCTGCAGCAGGTGAAGAAAGAGCACGTCAGGAAATGAACCACATGAATTTTGGACGTTTTATTTAAGGATGCTAAAAGCGAAAGGAAAGCGGAGGAAGAAAAGATGAAGGAGCATATTTATCACCAGCAGAGGAGCAAAGAAGAATGAATGCTCCTCTCAAAATTTGCAAAAGCTGTCAAGACACATATTCCAAAAGAACTGCCATCTTCTCATTTGTGCAATTCTTTTCTTTTTTTCTTCGTTTCAAGAAAGAAGATTAAATGCATATAGCATACAACATGTGGGAATCCAACAATTGATTAAAGCACTAAGCTTGCTACAAATCAAAGTCTGAACTATCTGCCCGTGGCTATATGTAGTTATGTACCACTATTTCATGATAAATTTACACTACCATTTTAGGGAGAGGGACCCACAATAAATAGAAGAACAAGGGAAATAAGAATATATAGTATCACAACTTCGAAGGGGAGCCTTGGCGTAACGGATAAAGTGGTTGCTGCCGTGTGACCAGAAGGTCATGGATTCAAGCCGTGGAAACAGCCTCTTGCAGAAATGCAGGGTAAGGCTGCGTACAATAGACCCTTGTGGTCCAGCTCTTCCCCGGACCCCGCGTATAGCGGGAGCTTAGTGCACCGGGCTGCCCCATAGTATCACAACTTCGAAGGGGAGCCTTGGCGTAACGGATAAAGTGGTTGCTGCCGTGTGACCAGAAGGTCATGGATTCAAGCCGTGGAAACAGCCTCTTGCAGAAATGCAGGGTAAGGCTGCGTACAATAGACCCTTGTGGTCCAGCTCTTCCCCGGACCCCGCGTATAGCGGGAGCTTAGTGCACCGGGCTGCCCCATAGTATCACAACTTCATCAAATGGATAAAAATATCATAATTTAACTTTGCAACAGGAAGCTATGCTTTTCTTTAGTTATGCTGTTTTGTGTAAAACAAAGAAGCATAGGTCTGACTTGGGGCCTGTAATTAAGAAGAAACTCCAATGGCATCGGAGTTGGACGTTGTTTTGAATTTCTAGCTTCTGTATTTCATCAGAATAGTGTTGGCAATGGTCAAAACATTTTGGTGGACGGGTACAAATTCTGGATCAAACTTTGAGGAATCCTGTTATAGGCTTTTGTTGAATTTAGGAGCAAATAGAATGGAATAGAAGATTGGATTGAAGAGTGCATCTCCTCTAGCTTGGGTAGCAGTTACCAAAAGCATAACTTTGCTATACATGGTTGAAAGAACAAATTGAATGTCAATCAAGTGTAGCGTAAGTGTGTAACTCTAGATCACTACAAACAAGTAGCTCCAGGCATCCAAGTTTAAGGAAATAAATAAAACCCCTGCCTTGATGAAGAGCTTATGAAACTAGTTGTCATTTAAAAATTGAAAACCAGCAGGACAATAAGGCTTTCAGCAACATTATCTGTTCAGGAATGCATTTGGAAACTATTAAATCATAGCACCAAAATTCCAGCCGGGCTAACCCAAACTGCATTTTATGACACTCGAAAGGTCAAACTGTAGCTTTGCTTCCTCTCTTCTGGCACTTAAGGATCAATCTTCTCTCTCGACTAATTGGTTATATCATGGGAACCCCGTGTATAACCAACAACAACGAATACTAAGCCTCAATCCAAAGTAGTTGGGATTGACGGTATGAATCACTTTTATCCATTATGTTATATTTGGGCATGTTTCTTTCCACTATTCGATAACACTTGCTGTTTAAGACAAATTATGGTCTCTCTAAAACTAGACGTTCTCTAAATCTCACACTTATTCTTGCATTGACATACAAATCTCGAGATAAACAAAAAAAAAACTTATGGAAAACACCAGAAGTAATCAAAAGACTACCGACATGATGATGCCTTAATCCCAACTAGCTGGTAAATTCAGAGATTATTTCCATGTTGAACATCTAAACGAGGAACCATGAATTTCCATTAACTCTACTAATGTACAATTAGGAAACCAAGTAAATTAAAAAAAAAGGAGGAAACTTTCCCCCAAATCTCAGGTTAACAGAACAACTTATTTTTTTAATTTTTTTTTCTCAACCAACATGCAAATCCAATTGATCACACAAAAAGGACAAAGAAAAAAAAAAGATTCAACCTTTTCCCTTTTCCCTTTTCCCCTTCTAATTCTTTCCCTTTTAATCAACCCCCATCCCCGAGCAACCAAATAGATAATTTCAAGTATAATTATAAAATTTAAAAAAGAAATAACTAATGAAGATGTGAACATAACTTTACCAATGAAAATGCTGATCTCAAATCGATGTGATTCACTGGTGATAAATTGAAGATTCAATCAAATTTAAAACTCAGTATATTCGAATCTCTTTCTTCTTTGCTAAATCTATCAACTACTCTCTCGTTGACGTCTCATGTCGAAAAAGGGACACAGACAGCTAAAAATGAGATGGTTTTATTACTTTTATTATCTTTGCAGTATCATCCCCAATGTTCTTGGATATTCCTGTATAGATCCCTACTATTTTGCCCTCTTTTCAACTTTTACGTAGAGAACAAATAGCATGTTGCAGATTTGGATAAACATATTTTTATAGCTAGTGTATGAATTGTTTGATTATAATATATCCTCTAAATAATGGACCTAAACAAGACGAATATATACAGATAATCGATTTTCATGAATTTGGACATGTTGTATTGTTAATTGTTTTGATTTTAAAGAGTGTAAAAAAGAGTGAGGTGATACAAAATCTGAATCGTAAAATTTGTTACCTTATATTTACTGATATGTTTAACAATTTATAATTATGGACAACGTAAATTGAGAATGATACACGATGAATATATACAAAGAATTGATTTTCATGAATTTGGACATATTATATTAGTTGATTGTTTGTTTTTGAAGAGAGTAAAAATTGATTTTCATGAATTTGGACATATTATAATAGTTGATTGTTTGATTTTAAAGAGAGTAAAAATGAGTGAGGTGATATAGAATTTGAGTCGCGACAGATTTACTTGTGGCCTCTTAATTATTGAATTGTATAATAATTTATAATTATGAATAATGTATACAGAAAATGATCGCCATTAATTTGAAATTGAAGTGCTGTTGATTGATTGATTCTATAAAGAATTAAGGTTTACTAATAGTCTTTTTTATCACTAAAGAATTCTCTTGGTATAGTGTTACTTATTAAGTATTTTCTTGACTTTTTCTGGTGTTAGTTAATATCTGAGGCCATTAATGAGAACTTTTTCCTTTTAGTATTGTGAAGGAAAAGATTTTGCCATTAAATTTTGTAGTATTATTGCTGTCAAGAACTGTCACAATCATATACAATGAGGAAGCCTCATAACTCACTCAATAGTGTTGTATGAGTTGCAGGCATAATCTTTACAACTCATTTTATACTACCACGTTATGTTTTCCAATAATAGTGCATTCTTAAGAGAGTTTAAGTTTTACACGTTCAATGTTTATTTTTTTTGCATTACCAGAATTTAGAACTTAAATTCCTTCAATATATATACATTTTGTATTAATAACTCACACCAAACCATCCATATTATAGCTTCATGTCAATAGGATACTAAATTTGTCATATTGTCTGTCACACCTCCTTTTTGCGCGCCCGCCCCGAAGGGTTAAGATGCGCGGGTGGAGTTTTTCC